GAATTGCGCGAAGTTGAGACGTTTGAGTTTGGACCAGGCACTGGACGGTGCGTGTGCGAGAAGGGATGGACGGGGACGAACTGCGACGAACTCTGTCCTGATGGGACGTACGGAGAGGAATGCGAGGAGAATTGCTCCAGCTGTGTCCATGGTGAGCCACATATTTTATCCATAACATATATTTATTTTTGTTGTATCATATGATGCAGTGAAGATGAAGATGCTGACTCGTAAATTTGAGGTAACTTAAACGGCATCGAGGTGCTCGTATTTAATGGAAAATGCCAAAAATTATTTTTCTCATCACGTAGTTTATTTTTCATGCGATGAACTCGCATTGAACCGGGTCCTCCAGATCATTTTAATGTCTCAATAAAGAGAATGGACTCTGGAATCAATTTAGGTTTCATTGTCAAAGGGTAAAAGCGAAAATCTGAGAAGAGATACTCGTGATAGCGAATCGTTAGGAACCCAATAGTTAAATATTCACATTTGAAACAATCATTTCCATGCAACAATTTTTTAATGAAGGAATGTGCCTCCACACGACCGGAGAGTGCTTATGCGATCCTGGCTTCACGGGCGAAACGTGTGAGGGCGTGTGCCCCAAACATCGCTTTGGATTCCTGTGCAAAAGGAACTGCACCTGCAAGAACGGCGGCGAATGTCACCACATCACTGGTTGGTCTGATTAAAATAATATTATTTTAGTAGGACTTTCATTTATCTTATTGACAAAAGAATTCGCAGGAGAATGCAATTGCTTGGATGGCTGGAGAGGAGCGGAATGCGAGGAGCCTTGCCCGGAAGGGACTTTCGGCTTCGATTGTCGTCAGAATTGCAGCTGTGATGGGCGTTGCAACGTAACGGATGGGGAATGCAAGTGCCTTCCAGGGTGGGTGGGGACGAGCTGTCAAGAAGGTTCGTTTGCGTTCTTCACTATTCAATACTCAAATTGATTTTCATGTACTGACAGGCCTTTTGAACTTTTCCAGCTTGCCCAGAAGGATTCTTTGGAGAGCAATGCAAAAATGTATGCGAGTGCTCCGAGGGGAAATTCCAGTGTCACCATATCGATGGTTGCATGTGCAAGCCAGGATTTCAAGGTTTCTCAGATTTTCCTGCTTTGGTAAACTCAATTTCCCCGATTCCCGCTCTTCACCTTACATTTCTTCCATGCAGGTGACAACTGTGAACTTCCCTTGGATCTCCCGATCCCTCACTCCACGCAACAGTCAGAGGGACGCTCGATCATCCAAGGATTGATAGGCGGAACGGTCCTCACCATTCTCTTCATCCTCGGGTTCGCAGGCTTCTTGGCCTACCTCAGGCGAAGAGCCCTCATCCAGCAGAAGCAGTCTCGCGAAGCATTCCTCCGCACTGCACCTCTTCCTGGTAAAAAAAAAAGAGTTTCTTACTCACTAACTTTTTCTCCCGCAATCAATACTACTCAATACAACTTCGATATTTCTCACAGCAGGAAAGGCACTAGCCACCAATTTTCTATTTGTAAGATGAGGTGGAGTAAAAATAACTGTATGGTAAATGTGACAATGCTTCGTCTTTCAGCCCGTACGTCAGGTAGAATTTTCTCATTTTGTGTCCGTAACATACCACTCTTCATTCCATGATATCGTAAATTTTTTTTACTTCTTTGTGATTGGATAATAATTTTTTACTTCAGTTTTGTGTACCCTGGTAGGAAAATCAGGAAATTATCTAAGATTGTTCTATTCTGCTACAACTTCGTTTTTCATCCCTACTATCTAGGCTCAAAATAGCAAAAAAAAAAATATTTGCTTGATATGAACCTCATGCTCTAAAAATTCAGACTCAGGTCTCGTCACATCCTTTGTTGAGTTCATTTTGTTATTTTTGGAAAGTTTGGTCGTAGGGAAACTAACAGTCTTGGGTGGGGTAAAAGTCAAATCGCGCTTATAATATGCTAAGAGCTGATCATTTGTACATGAGTCTATTTCCAGAAAAAAAGGTTTGTATGACTGAGTATTGTGCATGGGGCTTTTTTCAGGTTTCATAATGGTTCGCACTTACAAAAGGAAAACTGAGAGGGGTGAGGGGAAACGATACCTCAATGGAGATCTTGTGAGTACTTTGAATGCCCATTAGAATCATGAAATGAACCGAAAATGGCAGCAACAAGTATGGTATGCCCGAGAGCACCATGAACATGCGCCTTAGTATCAGAAGAATCGAACTTGACCTTGCGCTTCCTTGACTGAAGCGTGCTTTATCCAAAGAAGTTGGAAGGCCCTGGAATCTGTCTTGAAGAGAATGGGGGATTGGGGATTGGGGATAAAGTAAGCCATAGCACTTGCTGAAAATGAATGCCAGGATAACATACTGAAAGTCGACAAGTTAAAAGATTTGTCCCCTGGATTCATAAACAGGTATTCTTCAATAACTCTGGGGGAAAAAGCAGAACTCCTACAGTCTTGTCGAGAGAAGCAAACTGATCCAGGGGTCATATCCGATTTATTCAAAGTGATTGTTGCAACATATAAAGAGCTATGCTCGTATGAAGAGAATGCACCTATTCAATGGATTTTGGATTGAATACAGACGGCACGGATTTTTCCTGGATCCGGGGAAAACCAAAGGTGTGTGTACCAAGGGAGCTTCCCTTTCCTGCCAGAGCGAAGGTTCTAGAATTGAATCCACAACGGTTTTGCATGTGTTAGTCCATCTGGAAGGAAGATGCCATCGGTCATCATTAACATTAGAATTTCTGTGATCCATGGACATATCCAGAGACATATCCTGCATAAATTATGCTATATCAGGAAACGGATGGGTGATTTCACACATCTCTTAGGAACAGTTCAAGAACCTGTTTGTTCCCGATGTGAAGAAGTTTCTTGGAGAGGGAAACAAGGCTGACCTCTTGTACGGTGGTCACTTTCCTCAAGTGGCAATCGAGCTCATCTTGACAATGTTTTGATTATACTTTCGCCAAGCACTTTTCATATCCTCCAGCCACAGGATTAATGGGTATATGGAGCCCTGAAAACCGCAGAGAATCGCCGATTAGTATCATGGGGCTGCGTAACACTTGCAAAGCAAATGTCGAAAGCTCAGTTTGCTAAGCATCGAGGAATTATTTGGCAGAAGATAGGTGCAACTCATGTCAAAAGAAAATCGCAGAGAATCGCCGATTAGTATCATGGGGCTGCGTAACACTTGCAAAGCAAATGTCGAAAGCTCAGTTTGCTAAGCATCGAGGAATTATTTGGCAGAAGATAGGTGCAACTCATGTCAAATCTGGCTACCGTAGAACAGTGTCTTTTTTTATTTATTCAACCCCATCTCTCCACAAAAAAGGCCGTTGCTCCGTCAGCCTTCCACACTGCTTGTTCGATAACTGCTAAGAATTTAGTACCTCAAGTTGACATTTCACCAATCACGATGTGACATGAGAGATCGACTTCAGCAGTCAGCCCCAGAGTATAAAGGGGTAGATGTCAACTATGGAGGAACGAGGAGATACGTTAAAGTTGCACCGTTCAAACTCGCATGGGCTTCCCAGAGTGAAACCGACTCAGCCATGCACAACCCTTGAGGAAATTGAGGAACTCTTACTTCAGGAAACTTTAGAGCTGAAGGAAATACTTCATTTTAAATCATTGGCTACGGCAAAGTATCCGTATGAAGTCCAATAATAGTATCATGGTGAACAAGACCAACGAGAATACTTTTTATTTAGCTAAGAAGCGTGTAGACCGTTTTTACGACCGAGTTTACGGTGAGAAAAGTGATGTCATTCCCGCGACAAATTTTATCGGAACCCGTTATAAATATGTACAAACCTGCTAATGGCTAATTAACCTGGTTCATCTTTTCATTCTCGGTTTCCAGGCGCCTACTACAGGTGAATGATGCAAGCGGCTGATCGGGAAAATACGATTTCCTTTCGTCGGTGCCAGAATTGAAACGAGGAAAAAAGAAGTGCAAGTCCTCGGCTCGACACGAAGAGAAAGCGAAAGCAAATTCTTTTTGCCATTGTCGGAACCCTCGGATTACTGAATTTCTCGTCTCTTCTGCAGCACTCAAGGAAAAGAAAACATTGCTTGATGGAATATGTCATGCCTCCGATCAGCTCAAACACGTCTGGCATCTGGCAGCAGCTAATTTTACCGAATTAAAATTGAATCATTCATTACATTTTCCTGCTAATCCAGGCCTTAAAAAAAAATTCTAAAAGTACTGGTTTTGGAAGAAAATGTTCAGTTCCGTAGCAATTTCTTATAGAATAAAATGGCTTCTGAGAATTTCGAGAAAAAAAATTAATTGACCAATCGATATGAATCTTGAAAAAACTTCCACGAACTTCGGGTCGACCGAGGCTAAGTGGCTAGCAGTCGGGAATTCGTGAGTTGAGTCGGCAGGCCTCTTAACGCCCTGCGCAGCAGCCGCGCTCTCCCGTTCGTGAAGAACGGGATCCGACACCAGGGAAGGCTGGAAAGAAAGTGCGAGCTCGAGAGAGCGAGTTGGATGGATATGAAAGGTGCCCCATATGCAGCGCAACTCATACATTGGAAACGTATATTCACGAAATTTTTAGCGATGGAACCACTGCCATTGTATGAAATTGCCTGGAATGGCCAATATGGCAATTTCGCAGCAGCAGTTTTCCCACTTTTGCCACTAGGTGCTAGCACTGACCATAAGTCGGGTTACACTAGCAAAAATGATTCATTCCTCAGTCATTCATCAATTAAAAATGTGTCCCTTTGAATGATTCCATTCGAGAATGGGTATATCTGGCAATAAATTTAAATTTCTTCCCTGAGAAGAAATTACCGCAATATTTTTCATTGCTCTTACGCATTTGTATGCCAAGCATTGACTCCAATCCTTTACAAAAATGCCTCATAGGAGTCCTATATATTCCTTTAGGAACATATAGGAATCCTATAGGTTACCTATAGGGCCTATAAGGAACCCTATAGGCCCCATAGGTTTCCGTTTGGGACCTATACGAGATGTGGCCAAAAAATTCTAAGACTTAATTTTTTATGACGCTTTCGTGTCTTCCCGACTGCTGATTCTTGTCCTTTAAATTAGTCCTCTTCGGCATCTACACAAATTTTCCGGCGTATCTTCAGCCGCTGGAAGCACTGCTGACATTCATTTTTTGTCATCACCAGCAACGCTCGCTGCGCGAGTTTACAATTTTGCTTTGAATGCCTAAAGTCTCCTTCATTTCAGTGCATTCTTCAGTTTAGGGAACAAAAATTAATTACCATGAGCTATGATGGATGATGAAGCACGGGATTGCGGAGTAGGTCAGAAACTGGTGAAAAAAAGGAAATCTCAAAACATTTAAAACAGCATTACGAACGCGCTACGAGCGCTGCCGGTGATTCTAAAATATGAGTGTCAACAGTGCTTCCAGCGGCTGAAGATACGTAGGAAAATTTGTGTAGATGCGGAAGAGGACTAGTTTATAGGATATAGCCATCAGCAATCGGGAAGAGTCACCACAGTCTCATAAAAAATTAAGTCTTAGAACTTTTTGAGCACACCTCGTATGGTTCCCTATAGCAGTGCTTCTCAACCTTTTTCAATTCACAGCACACTTTCGAGTTTGCTCGATCTTCACGGCACACCGACCGCAAAATTTCGCAAAGTCATTGTGTAGAATATTTTCATCATCCAATAGTCAATGAAAGGAAAAGAAAAAATCGCCTTTTTCCACATGGAGAGACGAAATTATAACTAACGCAGCGCATTTAAAATCATTTAAATATTAATATTTTATTTGGTTTACAAAGTATTTCCAACAAATTAATTTAAGCTTTATTATGAAAGACACTTTCCAGATCCAGCCTATTATAAACTTATTCTTTCTCAAAACACTAATATGTCATTAAGGATTAAAGGACAGTCAAATTTTCCATTTAAAGCAGTTCCCATAAGCAATCGGAGAAACTGAAGACCCGAAATTAAATTTCGCACAAGTGCGACACTTTTGCCTGTCTTGAGGAACAGAGGCGTTTAATGTTATGCTCTATGTTGGAAAGAGCTACACGAAGTTCCTCATCCAGGTTTTTTAGACATGACCTCTTTTTGTTCTTGATAAGAGTCAATGTTTAGAAGCTCACTTCACAGAGATATGTTGTTGAAAATGGTAGCAACACATCAATGGCGCGACCAAAGATGGTTGGGTATTCATTTTTTACTAGCAACCAAAATGCGTCCAGAACTCGCTGAACTTGAGTCTGAGAGTGCGGTCGCTCCTACAGCCTAAAAATTCTTCTCGCGCCTTCAGAGAATGCTCCTTCACTGATTCCTCCGCGTGTGAAACAAATGGATTGCGAACCCAGTCATACTGCTCCGTGCTGGTCGACTTGAAGTGGTGCTTAAACAGGTCGTGAAGCATGCTCAACTGTTCAGCCGACATTCAGCAGCATTTTTTTTTAGGATGTGCGTTAATGGTCCGTTTGAACATGTCCAGTGAAACGCGTCTTATTTCTTCTCTCCAAAGTTGAAGTTTTGATTTGAACGCATGTAGCTTGTCCGTACATGTCCGCACGGTCTCACCGCGTCCTTGCATTCTCCGATTCAATTCGTTGAGATGCTCAAAGATGTCAGCCATGTATGCTTGTTTTTCCAGCCAGTAATTGGTAACAAACTGGCATACTGCGATTCGTTGTGTAACGTTAGGAACTACTGTACCTCGTCCCTCAGCTCAAACATTTTTGACAGGACCTCGCGAAAGTCAGCGAACCTCTGTGTGAAGAAGTAGGGATTGGTCATCTGCCCCCATCTCCTCACAAAGTACGGAAAAAAGGCGAGACTTCAGAGGACTTGATTTCATGAAGTTGACGATTTTCACAGCTTCGGCCAAAACTGACTTCAGCTCATCCGGAAGGTTGTTTGCCATGAGAGCTTCGTGATGGAGGAAACAGTGTGTGATTTCAACATTTGCGTTTTGATTTTGCACCTTTGACACGAACCAGCGACATTTCCTGTCATTGCAGCTGCTCCATCGGTGCAAACACTTGTGCAGTTTTCCCACTGGGTCCTGTTGCTTTTCAAGTACTCATATGTAACGCAGAATATTTCATCGCCCGTTGCACACTGAGGAAGTTCTTTGCTGAAAAGATAATGATCTTTAATGCAGCTTTCATCAACAAGGCGCACAATGGCGATGAGTTGTGCACAGCTGCCGATGTATGTTGACTCATCCACTTGAAGTGAGAATTTTACAGCTGCTCGCAGTTTCTCTACCAATGTTACTTCTATGTCACCCGACATGTCTTCAACGCGTCTTCTGATGGTATCGTTTGAAAGCGGCACTCTGGCCACCTCCTTCACTGCCCCGGGTCCTATCATAGCCCGTACAATTTCTTGGCACGCTGGTGGAATAAGTGTTTCACCGATGGAATGGTTTTTTTTTCGTTTTTGGCAATTAACCTTGCAACATTATAGCTGGCCTCTTGCGCCCTGTCGGAAACTTTCATGCAGGCTTTCATAAAGGAACTTTGCTTCAAGTTCTGCTCCTGCAAGCGCTTGAAGTAACCGATGTCCTTGTCGAGGTAAGAAGGATATTCAGTAGAAAGGTGACGTTTTAATTTGCTCGAAACAATCGCCTCGTTTGATAGTTTCTCCCTCTCAAAGAAGATGGTTTGGAGATGCAGCATCACCAAGACACTCAGGTCTTGGTGATGTTGCATCTCCAAACCACGAAATGCCGTGGGCCAAGTATCGTTCGTTGTACTGCCTATTCAGTGTCTTTGCCTTTTTCCTTGCAGGTTCATCTGTTTCAGTACACTGAGGCGCAGACATAGCTGTCGATGAGCCGTCTCCAATTAAGAATTTGTCATGTCGCACTTAACCCTTCCAGAATCAAAAACTTCAAAATCAATACCCGAACTCTTAAACCCTGGCACAGGGCACTAAGTATTATAAAACACGCACGTGCATCCACAGAATAAA